TTCTTTCTTTCTTTCTTTCTTTCTTTCTTTCTTTCTTTCTTTCTTTCTTTCTTTCTTTCTTTCTTTCTTTCTTTCTTTCTTCTGTTTTACATTCTGGGCACCCAAATCAGTTCACATGTTTATCATCTTACAAATATTCTTGGGATGTTCACAACTATGGGTTTCTATAGTTGAGGATCTTGTCTGACACCAGTCTAGTTTTTAAAAATGTCCCATGTTTCCATAAATACTTTGCAAATGTAAATAAGCTCAGGGATCTTGTATTGCAATCACACTGGAAAAAATGTTTACTTTCCTGCATTGCTGTTCTCAGAAAGTGGAGGAGATCCTTAGGCCTGGTAAAATAATCCTTTTGGTCCATTGAGGAACCATTTGGTGGGCCTGTTCCCAACCTGGTCGCTATGAAGGATCTGGCCAAATATCGAACACCCCCATTTATTAGGAGAGGTTACCTTTTCAAACCCCATGTCCGCAGGATGGAGGGGGGAGATGACATTCTCGATCGTCCCCTTGAGTTTTGTGTTTCTCAGGGCTGGTTGGCTCACTGGCCGCCATCACCTTCATTTTTACATTCCAAGAATATGGGTGGGTCTTCCTGGGAGTCCATTATTTCGGGGTCTGTTGCTCTCTCTTGCCACAGTGGGCTTCCCATTAAAAGAAATGTCCAAGGAGAGTGATGGGCATCAAGGCAGGCCATTGACAGACCTCAGGCTGCTGAGTGGTGCCCTTGCATGTCCCCATGAAGTTCCTGCCAGGGACTAATATGCTGGCCCATTAATAAAACTCCCACAGAGGTGCATGCTCCTAGCCTAGCCCAGCCCTTGGGGAAAGAGGCAGGTCATCATGGCCCCTTTAAAGGAGGGCAGGAGCAGGGCCTCTTGAACCTCCAGGGCCTCAGGTTCCAGGGGGCAGCCACCACAACAGAGAAGGTCCTATCAGACGGTTTTAAGGATCAAAGGCCTTAAAGCTAAGTAGAGGTAGGCAATGGAATCAGGGCGTATGATGGGAGCAGCGGGGTCTGTCAGTTCCCTGTAGCCACTTCTGGCTGGTGAGTCCAGAACGTTTTCTGCCTGAGAAGTGCTAAATATCTCCCAAGGCCAGGACCAACAGAAAGCATCTCCTGCAGAACCCCCTCTCCAGTTGTCCTGCCTTCACTTGCCCTTCGAAATTCTTCACCTGGTTGTGGCAAGAAAGAGCTGGACTCATCGCCAGCTTTCTTCTGTCTCCCCAAAGGATGGGACTGGAAACCGCTCTCTCAGCTGACCGAAAGGGCAAAGAGCCGTTGGATGCAAGTGTGCGTCTGTTGGTGGGTAGAGGTCATTCCTGAAAATGAAGGCAGCTGCTAAGCACAGAAGTTCATCCAGAAATCAGTTGCTTGGTCATATTAAAATGGGGTAAAAGAGTAGTTTGGTTCCCACATGGCCGCCAAACAGACTGGGCGCGGCCTGTCTTTGTGCATCACCCTTTGTAGATGTGACCACATGAAAGCACAGAGCAACTTAAGCTCTGAGAAAAGCTTTAATGTGAAGGAACAGCAACACAATTCGACCTTCTGAGAAATAGAAGCCATGATAGGTCAGAAGGGAATGAAAACTGGATCAGACAGTCTGCAAGATTTAATCTGCCATCTCTTCTTTCCTTCCAGGTAAAATGTGAGGCTAGATCACCTTTGTCCAAAACCAAAAATAATAACAGCAACTGTAAAAAGGGCTCAAATGAGGACAAATCCAGGATTTCTGTTGGTGAGGAATGCAGAGCAGATGAACAGGCCTTCCTTGTGGCACTTTATAAATACATGAAAGAAAGAAAAACGCCCATTGAACGAATACCCTACCTCGGTTTTAAGCAGAGTAAGTAGAATTTTCATTGCATTTTTGTGTGATATTTTAAAACAGTTTAGGCTTTGAATGTGACTTGGTAAGAATGGGCAGCGTTTAAGATGATGTGACCCCAAAGTTAATTTTAAATTTGCACTGTACGCTTATTATCCAAGTCATGTTCAGCATCCCGAGAGGCATTTAGGCATACCAAAGGCCTTTATATTCTGGAGGAGTTTTGGTTTTTCCCAACCGCTTCGAGCAACCTGTCCAGGTTTGGGGAATGCCATGCTAAAAGTAAATCCCCAATCTTCTGTGGGCGATCCGTGGGCCTTTAAAGTCTAGATGACACTAGATGGGCACAAGTACAGTATTGGTCCTGGGTTGATCTGTAGATTGATTCTTTCTTCATCCCCTACTCCATAAGGTCCTCCAGTTGAACTGCTACGAGGAATTTAGTCTGCAATCCTGTCTCACTTTCTTGGGAAGAAGTCTCTTGTTCCTAGCAGGACTTATTCCACAAATTGGCCTGGATAGGACTGCATTGTTATATTTTTAAAGTACATACCAAGGTGTAAAATGCTTCTGTAACTTCCCTCTTGGAAAAACAGTGCAGAAGAAGGAGTTATGTTAAATCAGCTGGTACTCATGATAGCTGCTTGAGTTAAAAATAACATTTACTTGCATCCTACCCAGTTTTACTTTGGGGGAGAGGATGTACACATCTAAAGAAGGTGTTTAAACAAGACCAGGAAACTGGTGAAGGAAATACCAGGCTTAAAAATCATATTTAGTGTAACTGAGTATAAGAGAACACCATGCAAAGAATTGTTTCAAATGAGGACTTACCACTGTTTAAAAAGCAATCACTAATAGAGGACAAATAACTAATTAAATGCTGCATAAGCATTCTGTGCAATGGATGGAATAATGTCATGAAGTCTAAAGGATGTGTTCTGAATCATCTGTAAGTTTTATAAATTATTGTAAAGGGAGGGAGATGTATTTGGAAATACTATGTATCCAAACCTCTCTCCTGAGATTAAAGTCACGTGTTATTTTGATGCAGAATGTCAAACCGGTATGTTTTACATAACAATTTACATACCTAATAGCAATTGACACTGATTGCAACAGACCTCCAGCAGCCATTAAAAGCTTACATAACTCTAAAATGATTACAATGTTTGCTTGAAAAACTAGCTGCTTGAAATAGAAGCAGAATTAATGTACTATGAACAGCTTTGTTGCATTATGCATTTGATTCCTATTAAATCAAGGCCTGAGCAAAGCTTCTGATAGCTCAGGGAAAATGCAAGATTTAGCAATGCTTTTTATTCAGAAAGTTTTAAGATGTGTGTCTGTGTGTGTGTCAGAGAGAGAGGGGGGGAAAAAATTGCAGTGTTTCCCCCCCAAATCTATCCTTAATAAATTTTAGAAAACAGGAATATAGTTTAGAAAGCTGCAGTTTGCTATGAAGCGATCTCTTGGATCTCAGTTGCCCAGCGCTAGGGCAAAATCGCCCCAGAAGGAGCCTCTGAGGAGATCAGCTGGGTTAAGCAAAGGCTTTGGTGTTCCTGGAGACGCCGAAGTGCAGCGTCCCTCATGACCTCCCAGCGAGATAAAGGCCTTCCCAGCATATATTGGCCTCATCTCTCTTCAGTTCCACATACTGGCATCGCTGTTCTGGCTGAGGCTGATGGGAAGTGTAGTCCCAGAGACTTGGCTGGGGGTATTCCAGGGAGGGTTCCAGAGGAGGAAAAACTGCTGAAGGGGAGCCAAATTATCCATCTGACGGCCAGGATTGTTACTGACCGCAGTTTTCCAACCTGGACGTGTGAAAATAATGTGTTGAGTCAGAAGAACCTGTTCAGACCACATAACTCCTTTGTTGGTGGGCTACCAAGGTCAGTAATGCGATCTGCTGACTGGAGGACACCCGTTTTTTACGTAATATTCATTCGCAGCCAGGAGAAGAAGCTCTCTCGTGGATTAGTATATAATTGAGTTGACAGAAACAAGCAACCTGTGTTTATCACATTCTTTAAAGCTTACAGGACCAGGAGTTTTGAAGACAGGAACCTTTTTCTTCTATTTGTAACTTAAAGAAAAAGATATCAAACATGCATGATATTTTAAAATAGCTTCTACAGGAAGAATATACAGTAATCACATCAAAGGATCTTTCTTTCTGTCTCTGATAACTTGCGAATGGAAAGTGAATCTAGACCATGCAGAAAGACTGAATTTGCATGTTTTCTTAGACGTTTAAGAGATTATCAGTTTTGCCACTTCCACAGTGACCCAAATTGTAGCTCGTGATGAATTCTAACATGATAATAGCAATCGGTATTTAGATGCCAAAGGGCACTTATTTAGTGTAACCCCAAGTTCATGCCGTCTGATGAGGCTCAGTCTGATTCCTTAAATTTAGTATCTGCAGTAGAAGGAACCAGTTGGTGCCCATCTCGGTTGAGCTTAAGGCAGGAGAAAAGGGGAAAGCATTCCTAGTGGAGATATAAGAGCCACTTCATGTGAGATGGGAGGCTGTATAAATACGATAAATAAGAAGAAATAAGAACACCCTTTCCGACATTCTTGGAAGGTAGCAAGCTGGCCGTGAGGTCTCCCTCCCCTGTTACTTTTGGTGGAACCTCTTCACAGAACTTCTGCAGCTTTGGGGCCTTCACATATATTTCCTCAGCTTTTAAAACTTACCTTCATGACTTCAATATCTAAAGGGGGCCATTAAAAATTGTTCATGTTCTTAAGAAATATTCCAAATTTGAAGCAAAACGCCATATTTGAAGAAAGTGCAGCAAAGATTGTCCCGGCTGTTTTTTATTTTTGCTTCCGCCCCCCCCCCCCCAAATTCCTGCTCAGGCTTTGGAGGCATCGTCTGAACCCAACCAGCCGAGCAAGGCACGCTTTGGGCCTTTTTAAAATGTTGGACAATCGGAGGGACCGGCTCAGTCATTTTGCCTGAGAGAACCCTGACATTCTTGAAAGCTTATCAAGTGTTCCTGTAAGAGAAGATCGGTAACCGTTCACATGTTCCTTGAAGGAAGAGTTGTTTGTCCAACCACTACGAGACTTCCTGCTCTTCAACAAGTGTTAGATGGAGGAGGGGATGGCCAGGCTCACCAGGCTGGCAAGGGATTGGGGTGAACATCCTTTCCCAGGGCTCCCTTCAACACACAGTATTTGCCCAACAGATCTCATAACAATGCTCCTAGGCCAAGTGCCGGAGCCAAGAAAATATGCTCGGCTTCATGTCCCCATAACCCCAGCCATCCATTGATGATGAACGCATCAGCTGTTGGGAAGAAAGGCAGGAAAAGCCTTTGCACTCTCAGATACGCTCCGGGCACAGTTGTCTATAGGAAGCGTTTTGCCCATGTACCCTCAGGGCTCAGTTGAACCAATGTGCACCAACTGAGAGCAGCCCTGCCCCCCCCCCACAGCCCCTCTAGCTTGAGCTTAGAGCAGCCTTCCAAACTGGATTGTCCAGGGGCTTTCCCAGGATGAGAACTGGCACTGAGTGGGTCTGGAGGGTTAGGGGGGAGAAACCTTGGTTAGAGCATGCTGTCAGGCCCCCTGGAAGAGCCACTCCTCCACAGAAGGCCCTCTCTGGGGCCATCTTGCCCCCTACCCGTCTCCGGTGCAGCTGTAGTAGGGGCACATGTAGACCCCGAACTGCTGGGTGGAAGAGGGTTTCTGGGTCCTGGCCGAGGCTCTTGACTCAGAGCCCTCAGGGGCTGCTCGGTATGTGTGCTCCAGTTTACTGCTCCCTTCGTTAGGCCACTTTAAGAAACTACTCCTTTCTTCATTAATGAATGCATTTGATATAGGAATATATACAGCAAAGCTTTAATAGAAGTACCAATTATTTCTTATCCTAGAAGAAGTAATTGTTTTCTAATACCTGTAACTCTAACAGGTTAGAGAAATTACAGTTAATTTAACTGAATTACAGTTAATACCTGTAACTGTAATTTCTAAGTGGAATGCTCCCCTTGTGATTTTTTTAAAAGAACGACATCTGTGCACAGGCAGAGTTTACACTTTGAATTATGTAAATATGTTTTGCAGACTGTTTCTCTGTTTTTGTCTAAACTTGTGTGTGTGGATGTGATTATTGTTTTTCTTGCTTCATTGTCAAAGAAAGATTGTTTCATTTGCATTTCTTGGAAAGATGGTTAATGCAACGCTTATCTCAATGCTTATTGTCCCTCTAACAGTTAACCTTTGGACTATGTTTCAAGCTGCTCAAAAACTGGGAGGATATGAAACAGTAAGTGTTGAAGTGACTTCAGAGGAAAAAAATGTGCACTCTAATTTTCTCATGTTTTTGCCGTGTGTGTGTGTGTGTGTGTGTTAAATACAACTAAAAAATAAAACAAAAAATGATCCAGTGCTGCAGAAAACACTTTGAGTTTATGGGGCTCTGTTTTGGAAACAGTCTGAATTAATTCCAAGCTTGGCAAAACTGTAAACTTGCTGTAAAAAAAAAAGAAAAACAAAAAAACCCAATTCTGAGTGGAAAACATACGTAACTCTTCCTTGTCAAGGAAATTGTTTGGGTCTGTCATTTTTTCCTATGTCGAGAAAGGGCTATTCTTGTACAACTAGCCAAGATTGCATAAAAGAACACGTGACTTGGCATAGTCCCCGACATCTGTTCTTGTCAAGTATGGGGAATATATTAAATACTTTAAAAAGTAATCAGCAGTGTCCATTATGGCGTGGCGTGGTGCAGTGTCTTTTCTTGTTTGAATGGTAACAGTCTTTCGCAGAAAAGGGTCAGGCCATGTAAACAGGAAGCTATCTGGAGTTCAGAACAGTGGGGAGGGAACACAGCGCACCGATGCTTTTTATTAACTAACAGTATCTGACACAGAGCCGTTGTTTTTAGCTCGTGGGGAAAATTGATGGTGGTGGATTTTACAGCATGTGTCCCAAACCAATAAAATATTGGAGCAACAAACTGTGATTAAGATCTTGAAATGAGAAGAAAGAGCTGCCTAATATGGTGGATAGAGATGGCGCCTGGAACAAGGCCAGTTGACATAAGAAGTTCATAGCTGGAAATGGTCTCCCTGCCCTTTGATGCCCAGAGGACTTTCTGCATTTCCTTGTGCAACTGGATTCAAAAGAGACGCACCAGACGTAGCTAGATGTATGGCAAACGACAGTTTTGCCTTTGTCCAGAAAATATGCAGCTTGGCTGCATTTAGGTTATAATGAAGTAACAGATAAAACCTGAAATGAATTTAAGCAAACAATTTGTCTGTAAGAAAAAGTGTATTGTTTCATTTTAATAACTGTGTTGCTAATGGCTGTTGAGATGCTTTCGTTATTACAGAAAATAATGAACGCACGCAAGCTTTTTTTTTTTTTTAAGCTCACCCTTTAATTGATGTTTGTTGCTTTTATTTTAGTCTACTTGTGTGGCTAACTCTGCTCTTATTTATTCAGGAGTAATGTCCATAAATTTAGTGGGTCATGCTTTGAAGGAAAACTGTGTTAAATTGCAAGTTTCATATGGTTATTGCCATACTTAAAAAACGAAACGAAAATACCTTAATTAACACACTGTTCCAAGGCATGCGGCAAGAAGCTTGACTTTCACTGGGGGTGCGTGTGTGTGTGTGCGTGCGCGTGTCTGAATTAGCCGTGGAATTCAATGGGCCGGCTAAACAATTGGCGCCCTTTTGAATTATCCCATCGAAGAGATTCCCGTCAGCCCCTCTCCAGGGGATTCTGTGCCACAGAGAGAGTCGGGGACCTCCAAACAAGGTGCCAGGGTGGAAACTGGAAAGAGATTAGGAAGGACTCTAAACGGGGCGTGGCGGGGGTATTGTATGCTGGGATTGGAATCTTAGCTTGGATTCCTGGCTCTGTTCAGCACAAACTGGGACAACATTTGAAGCTGCATCAAGCCTGTGGTCATTTGAGTGCAGGGAGCAACTTTTTCCCCCTCAACCAGTGAAAGTGGTGAAAACCAGCTATTTTACAACAGAGATTAAAAATTTTGCAGAAATCCCAAATCAAGCAAGTAGAATCAGAGGAAAAGTCTTGGTCTTTGGTATCATTTCAGTTTACCAGCTTTTCAATTGTTGTAATTTTAAGGAATCCCATCCCTTACCGAGCCTTCAGTGCTCCATCCACTTAACTCTTAGGAAGAACTTTGGATAGACTTTTATATTTCAGACTTGGTTTTAGGGTTGGTCTGATTTTGATAAGCATTTTTTAAATACTATAATAGTATATGCTTTATTTATTGGATGAAAAGAAAAGAAAAGCTTTTGACTGGAAAATGAAACCATTTGGCTGAGTGGAAATCTGCTTTTCCTTGGATTTGGCTTCAGGAGCATTTTGGACCAGTGCTTTACCGTCAGCAAGGAACCGGATGATATCAGGGAGCTAAGTCAGCACCAGCTGTATTTCATAGAGGGATGTTCTCACAGAGTTAATACATCCAGTCATGAAGAGCTTTATTTGGAAATGCATCCCATTTATGGTTAGAAACTTCCCCAAGGGCTCAGAGGTCCTAGAAAAAAACTGAGCTAGAGGTACTAGAAAGTGAAGCTCAGGGGGTCCTAGAAAGTATCACTGAGGGCAAGACTCCAGGAGTTGATGGAATCACAGCGGAACTGGTTGAAATCTCCTCCTTGAGGTTGACAAGCCGGTGTGGAAGAGACAGCAGTGGCCAAGGGACTGGAAAAGATCAATTTATATTGATCAGTTGATGACCATAAAAGGGGAGTGCTGAAGAATGCTCGAAATACAGAGCAGTTGCAGGAACCTCACATGCTGGCAGGTTCACCCTCAAGATGTTGTCGTTCAGACTTCAGCAGTGCTTGGACATCACACTGCCAGAAACAGCAGCTGATTTCAGAAGAGGCAGCAGCAACTGAAATCGCATCGGTAGCACCTGATGGGTTATGGAAAAGGCACGGGAGCTCCTAAAGGATGTTTCCTTTTGCTTTGTTGATTATGCAAAGGCCTTTGGCTGTCTGCACCACAGCAAATTGGGTCTTCTCCTTAAAAATCTATGATGACTAGGAACAATAGTGAGAAAGGTATATTGGCAACTGAATAGTTCAAAGTTGGGAAAGAAAGGTTCCAAGTTTTTATAACAACACTTAAATGCAGAAAATATCATGAAAAACGTTGGGTTAGAAGAAGTAGAAATTCAAGTTAAAACTGCTGATACAACTATGAAGGCTGAAAGTGAGAAAGACAGGGAATCTTTTGTGGAAGGTGAAAGAAGAGAGTGCAAAATCCAGTCTGCTGCTCAACATAAAAAAAAAAAAAATCAAAATTCAAAAGGTTATGTTAACAGGAAATGCCGATCCAATGCAAATAGGCAGAATAGTAACAGACTTCTTCATCCTCCTAGGATAAAGTTTGGCAACTATAGCCATGAAATAAAGAGACATCTGCTACCTGGAAGAAAGAAAAGAAATCTAGACAAAATGTTAAAAGTGCTGAGATATTACATGGACAACAAAGGTCAAGTCCATGGTCTTCTCAGTTGTAACATACAGCTCTGAAAACTGGGCCATCAGAAAGACTAAACAACAACAAAAAAAGATCAATGCCTTTGAATGTTGGTGCTGGAGAAGATTGTTGACAGAACCTTGGGTGGCCAGATGAAGTTACACTGGGCTGCTCACTGAAAGTCCTAAGAATGAAGCTAAAGCTGAGATATCTTGGGTACATAATGCAAAGGTGAGAGTCCTTGAAACAGACCCTGATACTTGGAGGAATGGAAAGCAGTGAAAAAGAGGCTGACAAAGACTACATGGCCAATTCCAAGAATTCAAATCCTGGTGAAACTGTCAGATCATGAAGAGCTGGAAGCGACTGAACAGCAACAAAACAGTAACACTTAGAGAGAAAAATAGGGAAGACAGTCTCTCTGAATTATGTGCATTTTAGAGACAGTTGTGACAGTCCATTTTGCAAATAGAAATAACTATGAAGTAGTATCTGCACCTTTTTAATTAAAGCAAGTACATTGTTTACATTCTCACAATGGAAATTGTCAGATATTATGTTATACACTATATTCCCACCAGCTGAAGACAAATTTATGAGGTGTTCCAAAATGCTATGAGCTGATGCATATTTAAAACAGGACATTTCAGTGCTGGGAATTAATTGTATATTTATTTTCAGTTAATTCAATTGTATATATGTAAAGAACTATCTAATGGGAGAGTTTCATTTGCAAGGGATCTCAGCGAGAATCCAGGTGCCCCCATTCTGAGGCTGGATGGACACAGTTGTCTAAAATATGGGATACATTAGGTAGTAATGGTCATTTTAGGGAAAGGTACTTTAAAGACAAAAATGCAAACTGCTAGGGTTCAACACGCAGACTTAATTATCTAGTGACTGACTTTAGTATCTTGGAATCCAACTTTTCTCATGAAGTCCATGATTTGGAGGTAAACATTCAAGAACAGGCACCCCAGAAATGATTTTTCCCCCCTGAGGGAATCCATTCCAAATAGGTTGCAGCCTGTGAGATACCTCTCTGAAATGCTCTGCTTGAGGGTTGTATTGCCCGCAAGTCATGGCTTATTGCTGCGTGCCTAAGTAAGACCAAGCCTATCTCTCCTTCTCCTCTTTCCCACTTCTTTCTCTTTCATTTTATTTGTCTGGATGGGCAAGGCAGAAATCAGACTACTAAGAGGGACCTAATTCAATAAAAAGAAGTTTCTTTCCTTCCTGTTTCATCCCAAGAGAAGATATTCCTTTAGTGGCCAGGAAAATACAGTTAAAGAGGAAATAAGTCACTCAGTAGAGCTCCCCAGGCTGTGAGTGTGATCTCCATACCCCAAATGACTGCAAAGTTTCCACTTGTCCCTTAGAAGTCAGGTTGCAATGGGACAGACATCTCGTCTCTAGCTTGAAGGGGAAGCCCATGTGTTCAGCTTTACAAAGGACATTTCTGTGTTGGAAGAACTATCCAATTCCAGTTTTATCACATTCCTAAAATTGCTTTTGACATTCAGAATCACTTTAAAGCAGATCTTTTCCCCCCACTCTAACCAGGAGCCCTGTGCCAATTCTTCCTCTATCGCTCTGCCAGTTTACATGACAGAGGATCTTCATACATTCATGTAAGAATTAGTTGAAATCACTGAGATGGAATTGGGCCAAAATCCTATGCACACTCGTGCTTTGGAGTCAACTTTCCATGAAGTGAATGGGCTCCCTTCTGTAAACGGAAGGGAGAGGCTGAAAGGCCGGCCTTCTGTTAAGAAGATGCTTTTCGGCTGTGACTGCTCTCTGAGTAAAAGATCTCACGGTACATGGTTCAGGATCTTTTATTCAAGTAATGCTGTAATGAATGCAAAAAGGCAGCAGCATGAAATAAATAATGAGGAAATGACAGAGTCGTCAAAATCAAATGTTTTCAAAGAAATGTAGCCATTTTTTCTTTTAAAATAGCTAAGTATTTTTATGAATCCTCTTCCCTAATAGTATTTGATACATCAATATTGTCCTGCTTGGGAAAGGTAATTGTTCTCTCCTACGGGGCCACTTCCCTGGAATTTTCCCACCGCTTTACAACCTCGGCAATATCTTCTCTTCCGACGGAGTGAAGTTGCACGCGCAGATTTCCCAGTGGAAGAGAGTTACCTGTTCTCATTTAAGCTTTCAGGACTTTGGGACTCATGTATGCTTGAGAAAGTTTTCCTCATCTGAGCAGGACCACCGGGCAACACTCGTGATGCCCCAGCACCGTCTCTGCAAGATGTAGGCTGTACAAGAGCCCCACGCTTGGATCAAGTTTTCAGCAAGGCAGAAGAGGCTTCTGGCTTGAAAGGGGGGAAGCCTCTGTTTTTCAGAGCAAGCTTGTTATTCGGGCGTGCCTTCTGTAACTCAGATCCCACAGGAGCACATGATCCCAGCTGGGGCTGCATGAAGCATGGTGTTTATCTGTATTTTGTGTAAAACGTCTCTGGCGCTGCCTAGTTTGGCTCGAGGACGAAAGTCTTTTGTGGCTTTCCTATTACTTGGGTCTTCAGTGAAACCGGAAAACTCTTGTGAAGCTCCGAAGCCAGACCAGACATGCACATACAGGCTGCCCATGCAATCGGGTGGATTAAAGTTACTCGGAATTAATCAGTTACAACCGTCAGCTCCAGGCAAACCGGAACAAGATAACTTACCATTCCCTGGTACCCCTCAGACAGCTGTCCAGGGGGATGTTTGCAGCCTTGAGGCACGCTCTGGTCCTGGTAGCCACACGGAGCAAATAGTGAGTCAGTCAAGGATTTCCTGTGGCCCTTCCAGCATTAGTTGACACATGATTTGAACACAGAAACTCACTCTTGAATGAATTACTGGATGTATTCTCAGCCAGAAGATAGATTACCCTTGTTTTTTTGTCTTGAGACAAAGGACTGGGATGTTGAAAAAAAGATCCTCTGAGTTAGCATAACACCAGTCTCTCAGAAATAACACTGACATGCTAGAATTATCCTTTTCTTTATGTGAAGCTCTAGCAAGGTCTCTGGACCTCAGTCATCCTTTAAAATGAAAGGATGTGTATGCTGACACCATTTAACAATTTTTTGCACAGATTGTGGTAGGGGACTTTGTTTCAAGGACCAAAGCACTATGAGCACTTTTAATGGTGGCTGCTGCTACACTCCAGAGATGCTTGTCCTTCAAGATGCAAAGCTCTACTGCAGTTCATCCAGAGCTCTGAAGGGCAGTCCATTTCTAAGAATTGTCTTGCCAGATCCTCTTGTCCAAGATTCATTTTCCAAAGCAACCAGATGCTGGTCTCTGGAATCTCTTTAACGAGGCATAAAATAGCTAACTTCCCTGGTTCTTCTCTGAAAAATGGGATCCAGCACTGAACCGTTTCTGAACATGGAAGCTCCTGTTAATAACTTGGATTTAGGGTTTTTTCTATTTCTAATGTGGTTGCCTTGATCAGCCTGAATGGAACTGTCCAGAATGGGGAGTAAGGGCATTTACAAAAGAATGAAAATGAACCTTAATGTCTAGAGAATATCTTGTGATTAGAGTTTCCTTGCTGTGTCAGAATGCGTGATTGATCAGAGCTGCAGAGCAAGGGGGAGAGAGAGATGGAGAGAAATGGATGGGGCTTCAGGGGTCTAATGCAACATCAGGAGTTTCTCTGTCTGCTGCAGAGTCTGTTTCCATGAGACTCTGCTGACGACCATATGGACAGCATCTGTGCATATAACATGCATCTTTAATAAAAGCAGATAAAGGCACCTTAACATATTTCTTAAGTTCTTATGACATCAGCTTGTATAGAGAACAGCTCCTTTCATCAGACATATAGAATATTATCCTGAAATAGGGCAAGAAGGGAGAAACGACAGTAAACAGAGAGGTTAGGGAGAAATGAAATATTGAAGGTACAGCTGACAATTACTTCCTTGGCTATATCATTTCACAAAACAGGTGTGACACAGTGAGTCTTATGTTGGTGAGCCTACCAAACGTAATGCTTCCTATTGATTCCAGAGTAGCTATGACTGCCAAAACCACATTGAATTTGGATTTTTAAAAAGGGCTCCATTAAACATTTCCACCTCAGAAATCAGCATTAGCAGAGATGAGAGTGGCATCTATTCTGCTAAAATGGGCATTTAAGAGGGAAGGAGGCATTCAGTTTTAATCCAAAACATACAGCAATCACAATTGAGCAGGATGTTTTTACCTTGATCTTCAAAACTACCTATGAGTTATTACAAGCTTTCCTGACATGTTAGTTCTCCGGGCTGGAAAACACATTCTGGCATAGCTTTTGCAGGCCCTATTTCAAAGCTCTTCTACATGATGCTCCTACTCCACGCCCACTGGTTGCAGACCATGATTTCTACCCTGCAGGTCTTTGAGAGTCTTCCTTGGGAAACGTAACATTTCCAGCAGTCAAGCCATTCCAAGAAGGTTCTCCTTCTGCCCTCTTCTGGGAGCTGGTTGTGGTGATACATGAGTGAAGGAGACACAAGCCTGCCTGCTTAGATGCTCTCCTGTGGTGGACCAGCCTAGGAGCATAGCAGAAGAAATCAGCGGAGTCCAACCTAACCAGACCAGGAGAAGACCAGCCGAAGTCAAGAAGGGGACATTCTCCGCTCCCATCCTTCCTTGCAGGGATCAGATGCTGGACCGCGTCCACAGTCCCATCCTTTGAGGAAACAGCTCCCTGCATGTATTGGGGAGAAAACAGAGCTGCTCATCCACAGAATGAATGGGGAATCCCACTTCCCTGAAGCCTGTGCCAGGCCCTGAAAAAGAACCTCAACTGTTCTTAGCTGCTGTAGTCCCCCTTTTCAAAGAGCCCCCGCCCGAGAGGCAGGAACTTTTGTGCTGGTGTCCAAAGCCTTCATGGGGCTCCTGCAACCTCTCCGACCTCTGGAAGCACAAATCCTACTCTCCCTTGTTTTCCTTCAACCACTGCTGCGATCACAGTTCAATGGGCATGGAAGACCAGCTGTAAAGCACGGGGGTTGTGTCCTGGGCCAGTTCTGGACAAACATCCCACATACATTTTTAGCGGGGCTTCGTCTCCACCCGATTGCAGATTTCTTTCTGCGTGCATGGTGTGAAGCACAGACAAACATGGATTGTATGTCTGCACATGCTCAGATCTCTCGTTAAGGTTTTCCCGCATGAGAGGCAAAGCATTGAACTTGCAGCTGTGCTCCGGGGTTTAAGGTTTGGGAGGGTGGAATGAGCAAGGAACATCTGTTCTGTGCACACAACCGCTCTGCAGTGTTTAGGAGGAGGGTCACTGACTGAATCAGGGTATGTCTGCGTGACCACAGTAGCTACAAGGGCGATTTCAGAGACAAGGCCAGGAAGAAAAGTTATAGGTGAATATTTTTTGCCCAGTTCTATCAACGCTCAAATATTTCAGGATACTGTTGAATAAAAATTTAATCTCCAGCCAGAAAGAGGTAGCGATTATGTCTAATGAGAAGAAAACAAAGATAGGATTGTTTGTCTGAAATTGTAACATCACCAAGTAACATTTATTTTACTTCTGATCCTTGCTTTTTGCAAAGAAAGCATTTTACCTTTATGCAGGGCAGGAAATGCACCATTTCTCCTAATCAGTACTAATTAATTGTACCATTCATCTCCTTTTTAGATTAAAATTACAGCACACACACACACACCCAACTTGGCAAGTTTTGATACTGATTTCCCTTGGTTCTGTTCTGATCATTGGGTTAACCATACAAAATCTTTGCTCCCCAGAGGAAAAAGTCCCACTGAAAACAGAACTGAATTCACCCATCATTTCTGAAGTCGCTTCTCTGCCATTTCCCACTCTCCCTCTTTTGTTACGCATGCCTTATATCAAGCTTTTTTCCCCTCCTGTCCTATTTTAAAATAGTTTGGACTGTATAAAATAATGAAGACACATTCAGTTACTTTGCCACATCTTCCATCTGTTTCTCCATTAATCCTGTTTCCTGCACAAAGATCGTACACATAAAAGTCATAGCTTGCAATTTAACATGTTATCAGATGTTTGTTTTATTTTATTTAGCCAACTGTAGGACATCGTTCAGATATTAATCTTAGTGTTTAGATTTCATTACCATTTGATCTATATATTTTACTGACCCAGATGAGTGAAAATAAACAGCTTGTAATGTATAGAGTTACACAGATTATATTTCTATATGGATTTACTGGAGAATGTGATGGATTGAGGGTTTGTAGTCGGCTCCTTGTCACTAACTCAATAAAATAATTTTGTAATCATTATTTGCGCTGAGTTTGGGATTCATATTCATAATTTACCAAGGGATTTCTCTGAATGCATTTTAACAGTTAATGCTCTCAGTGACTAAAATTCTTTTTTCAAGAAAGTGCATACACAAAATAGTCAGATTGCTTACTAACAAGACAGAAATAAAATGCAATTCCAGAAAAAAACAGATGTAGGTGAAATAAATGTGCAAAATGTTGTTTGCTGTAGGAATCCATGTTCAGCTTGTTCTGCACTGGGTTTATGGCTTGTGCTTCATGCTCTTCTAAATGTCTCACAAACGCATTTATTGCTGTGAACTCAAAACGCTGCACACACACACACACACACACACACACACAATCTGTGAAGATGCAAGATTAAATTTTCCATTGCCACTTTTGCAGATAACAGCCCGTCGACAATGGAAACATATTTATGATGAATTAGGTGGAAACCCTGGGAGCACCAGTGCAGCTACATGTACACGCAGACATTATGAAAGGTAAGATAACAAATATGAAATGTTTGTGTAATAAAGAAGAACAATTGAACTGGAGAGCCTTCAAAGCCTTTTGTAAAGAATTGGGTGGGGGGAGCCTAGAAGGGTTCTTTATAAAATCACTGTAAATACCTCATCACCAATTTAATCCTGTAATAGGCTTTGATTTCAACCTGTGTCTGTTCCTTAAGTCAGAAAACAAACTGTTGGGTGTCTGATTTCTTTCAGTTTTGGACTTTCATTTCTAAACAGCTTTTCTTAACCTGAAGCTCTAACAAATAAGCAAGACAATCAACAGGGTGCCAATGGAAGAAATGTTAAAGATCTGATTGGCTCTGTATTGTCTTTTCAAAATAATTGTGTGTGTTTATGTGTGTGTGTGTGTGTGTGTATGAAGCAACCAGTAGCTGGTTTTGTTCAACTTGTATGAGATATATACATACATACATACATACTCGTTCAGATTGATGGGACGGTTCCCTATTCTTTTAATGTTCTCTTTCTTCCCTCTGCGGCTAACAACAATTTATCTTTCTGAAATGCAAAAGACTTGCAGTTTTATAAGCATTGATTTTATACCCTGTGTTAATAATACTTTCCAAAGCTTGGGTATCCAGCATATATCAGATAACATGATACGGTTGTGCTGCTTTCTCAAAAGAATTTTGAGAAAATACGGCCATCAATAAAACATGCGCACTTTCAAGCTCCGAAAGGAACAGGGTGATCTCATGCTCCAGATCACTAGCCGGTCGCTGGAGGGGCCAGGAGAGCGTGCGCTGGCCTGGCCGCACGGCACATGGCCGGGGACTTTCGGCCAGGGGGGAGGGCCTTTGCCCAGCCTCAGTCCGTCGGCCGGCAGGCCCGAGCGAGGTGTCGGTCTTCATCCGGGATGGCGGTCTGGTCTGGCTAGAAATCTGGTTTGCCTGGGAAATAAGTAGATGGTGGTTTCGTCCAGCACTGACATCGCTAGGAAAGGGCTGTCGGCGCCCTTCGGGTTTCTTCGGGTTTCAGGCCTTCGCCATCCTAGGCCAGCCTTGCGTTGTCACCTGTGGATGAAATTAGAGTCCCTTCACGAGTTTTCTCCTGACTGACCTCTCGCGATGAGTAAAGGGGCCCTCCCGCCTCCGTGCGCGTCCCACCAGAACAGATGTGGAAGTAACTGGGGTGGGGGTGCCGTTCCCCAGATCGCCCACAGGTGCAGCAGGGTCTGCTGGCCCCCCAGGACAGCACGTGGCTAAGGAAGAACTGCCGTGGGTGCAGTGATCCACCCAGCCAGCTCCCTAATAGGTTGCAGAGCTAATTTTAAAGTACGAGGAATTTCAGGAAGCAAGGAGGATGTATTTATTTTGTTCATTTTAAATCCTGCTGCATGCGCATGGAAATTTCCCTTCCGCAACATCCGTGCCAGGTAGGCTGCTCGAGAGGGAGCGACTGCCCAGAGCCCCCAGGGCTTCCACCGCTGAGGGGAGATTGGATGCTGGCCCTCCGGCTCGCCCCACACTGAGCTCTGAGGCGACCACCAGTTTTGGGATAATGCGTAGAACGTTATGAGCATCTGAGTGACTTGCTGGCCATTGTTTGGATCCCCTGCACTGATCCCCAACAGGCAGGATTGGCTTTAGTAAGTGGATGGGAGACCACCAGGAAGGGCGCGTGCTAGCCTGGGGAGTGGGAGTCAGAAAAGCTCTCGGGGAAGGTGGTGGCAAACCTCTGCTGTCCTCACAAAAGTGCCGCCATGTATTTGTGAGAAGTCAGGCTCAACCGGAAGTCTTCTTAATTATCTGAATTAGAAGGGAACAGCCCCCCGACTTGCAGGGGGGTTCAGTCCTGAGGCTGAAGGACATCGGCTTCCTGTCCGAAATTACAAGGAAGAATCATGGCCGGCGTGGAGCTTGACCTCCAGTTCCTGTTCTCTCCAAGCCAGCCTCCTCTTGCTCCCCCCCTTCAATCTTTAACCCTCAAATTGTGCATGCACGCGCGCACACACACACTGCTTCCATTGTGGAAGCAGGCTGTGCTCCACCCTCCAAAAAGGCAGAAGATTATTTGAACGCGTTATTGGCATATTCCTGTTTTAATTGTCTGTGGCTAACTGCCAGTAAACATTTTCGTTTTCAAAACCAGGCAGTGCGGCTGCGAGTTTCCTAAGTGTTATTTTGGATGTACGTCAGAGGCTTTCTCCTGCCTTCCTAATGAGCGCAGGAATGCAAGTGCAGGTTGCTTGGAGGCGATTCAATGGGTGTTTTTGTGGAATCATAGACTGTCCACGAATGCGTGATCTAGCCACAGCCGTGCCTCTGGTTGGCTTAAGTCAGCGCAAACACTTCATCAGAAGGCTTGGCTTCCAAACCTATCCATCTCTGTCAGGTTTTAGCGTTTGTACCAGCTCTTGCCCATGGTCCATTAGTACTGTACTTAATTGCTCAAGTTACAGATGATTACCCATATAAAAAGCGTTGGCGTTTTCCCACAGAGGAGCTGTTGTTATGGTCCCAATTCCACACACACAGAGCGCACAAGGTGCTATTTTGATTGCGCGGCTTTAATTCTCCGCTGGGATCACGTAACATAACCCAAGCGCGTGCCTGCGTTGTGGGGCTGAGGCGTCGGGGGGGGGGGGTTTTTCCCCCCCCCCCACACATGCCCCCCCCCGGGGCCTTTCCCCCCCCCTGATCGCCTGGAGGGGGTCGGGGTGGGGGGGGGGGGCCGTGGGGGGGGGGGGGTTTCTCCCCCCCCAGCACATATGCCTCCTCGTGTGCCGTTTCGCCACCCTGGATCGCTTGATGGGGCTCAGGATGGCGGAGCAGCATCGCGCTTTGGGGCTAGTGAGGCCCGTGTTATTCTTTGCAATGTGTTATCTGAATAACGATATTAAATCAGATGGGGTTCCTTCCAGAGCCTTTTCTTTAACCTCTCCGTGTGCAAAATTCATGATGGCTGACTTTCATTTCTCTGAATAAACAGTGATTTTTTTTTCTCCAGAGAGTTAAAGAAAAAATAACAGCCACCAGATTATAAAGAAAACATTGTCATCTATCTGGGAGCTCAACATTTTTAAACAAACTGTAATTAAGAAGAAGAAAAGCTGTGTTTTAAAGCCTTAAGCCCTTGTACAAATCTTCTATCTTGGGAGGTTTCTTTTTCCCTTAATTGACTGGGAAGTAGATAGTTAAAATGTATGGATAAGGATGAAAACGCAGGTGTGGAGGGTGTTGGATAAAACAGATACACCCAGCAGATCTTCAAAGTGGATTTCTTCATTTTCCCAGCCCTGGGACGATCGCCACCTCTTGCCTCGGGTGAAGGCAAGGCCTGCCATAACCAGAGAGACTCGGGGGGACCCCAGGAAGACCCCCTCGGTGCCCCAAGAAAGGCCCCCCAGGCAGTGCCCCGGCCTGGTCTGTGCTGGCAGTGGGCGGGGCCAAATCTATCATCGCTTGGGTTTGGTTTTGTTCCTGCGCCGCTGACATCGGTGGACAAAGAGCAATGGGGAAAAGGAGTTACAGGAAGACCCCCACCCCCACCCCCACCGGGTAAATTTCCCTCAGATGGAGGCTGTCTCGCCATTTCTGAGAAGAGGTCGGCGGGGCGCAGAGTCTGCCCTTCCGGGAGGGGAAACTGCCTTCGGTCCAGGGTCCTCGTCCTTCCGGCGTGGGCGGCAGGCCGCCGCCCCCGGGCTCCTGAGAAGGAGAAGCAGCCCTGGGGCCTCCCCCGGCCCCGGGCTCAGGCAAAGGAGGCGGCCCTCGGAGGCAGCCCGCTATCTCGGTTCACACGTGCACGCGGTGAGCCGGGCGTCCGCGCGCCATTCGTCCAACACCGTCTCAGTCTCGCGCGTCTGACGTTACAGGATCAAGACAAGCGCGGGTTCCTTTCCCGTCCTTTGAGTCCGGCGCAAAGGAGGCGGCTCCGACGAGCGTCCTGGAGGCAGGCAGCTAAATAAGGGAGCCGCCGCCCCGCCCCCCCGGGGGGGC